CGGCGTGGCAAGCCTGCGCAGACGGACACGCGCTTATCAACTACCTACCTGAAATTCCGCAACGACATATATCTAATAAATCATTGTTAATATGTGAGCCTAAACCGTTTTTTCCTGGTTTAAAGAAAATTGCCCAAACAGATAAGTGGTAAATTTGACCAGAAGTTATTTCTAATCAAAAATTAAACAAAAAGGAACTCGGTAATATATCGCCCGGCAAACTTCTTGGACAAAAAGCGGCATATTGGGGGAAGGTTCGCGCAAGTCTATTATAACAAGGTTACTTTTTCGTGGCATATTCAACACAAAAAGTCAGAACAATAACTACAAACAATTATTACCTTCTTCTTCAAAGAAAACAAGTAACGACGAAATTGGGTCAACAAAACTGGAGATAAGTGTACTTCGGAGTAAAGGGAACGCAAGGAAAGAAGCCGGACGCGAGGGCCGACTGATTAGCCGATAGCAAGCCCCCTTGCCTCGCTAAAAAAACCTTAAAATCCACTTCTGTACAAGTATATGTTTGCCGAGCGCTGTGGCAGTAGTCGAGGTTATGGTTTCCGCACCACCTCGGCTAGCGCACTCTGTGCGTGAGGACAGGTCATGCTTCACTCCGGCTGACTGAGCTCCCCTGAGAACACCAGTAACCCTTTTATGTTGCTGGTGACCTCCGGGATTAATCTTGTTGAACTGAGATATCTAACCCTGGGTTGTTCTGATCTTCTAAAATTGGAGTGTCTGTTTGTAATATGAAAGAAACATTCCAGGAAAGATGATGTATTTGGTTGCTGATAATGAAAATAACATTTAAAATTTTTTTCCTGTCTGCCTGTCTGTTCGCAAGCCGCGTTTGTTCCGGGTAATCTCCAAAACGGCTAGGCTAATTTAAACGGTACTGGAGGGTAGCTGACATGGAAAGGCATATTACAGGCTACTCTTTTTTCTAATTCCGTGCTGTCAAACTGGCGTAACGGGTGGTCCAAATTTGCGCGAACGAAGTTTGCGGGCGACGCTCGTGTTAAATGTTCGTGGATAGCAAGAGCCAAATTTTAATATTTATTTATTTTTCTACATCTATCAAAATATAATAATAAGGACCTGTGTGTACTCTCTGACTTTCCGATCCGTGTCTACACTTAGTATAGGATAGAAGTGGGCCCAGGCAGGCAGAGCGGCCACCACGTCCTCGCTGCTGCTCTGCCTCGTCAGCTCCAGCAGCTCCTGCAGCGCCTGCGGTTGCATTCACAAGCTATAATAATCTCTAATACCATTGGTTAATTCTTATGTTAATCAATCTCCTTAGACTGTACTATTAGCAGTTTTTAGTGCTGTACTCGTAAAATGCTTTGTTATTTCAACATACCTTAGATTTAGTTATAGGATCTTTCTTATTGAATTTTTTGAAACATAAAGCATATTCTGTGTTAAGACCATCTTCAAAGTTAACAGCGGCCAGTGTGGAGAAGATGGGTGTCAACAGCTTGCCAGAGGTGATGCCAAATATGGCCGGATCCTTTGTGGAGTTGATGAGAAGCTCCGCGCTACGACCACTGCTGGACGGCTGAAATCAACAAGTAGTCCAAAAAGTTATGTGATTTTCATTTATTTAGAGCATATCATTTTTTTTAAATACACTGTTGATGTAGATTTGTTTAACAGTGGTAGTACTCACATCTGTTGCGCAAACTGGCCGGCCTGAAGGATGAAATACCATAACCACACAGAATACTGACATGAAGTGTGGTGCACATGGAGTGTGTGACAAATGCTGTATCTCCAGTGTAGAATATGTTGTTTTACAGAAAATGAGTGTGTACTACATTAATTGTTGAGTATTGCAGTCAGCCAAGACATAAGGAAGTATGTTGGTATTTTTGTATATATGGGTTTCTCCAATATGTGTGTAGCTACTATTCTTTGTGACTATTCAGTGTAAACAGTTAAACCAGTTTTTCCAAGTCATTCTATTTATTATCCCCGGAATGACTTGGGGACCATCAATGCCTCTTTTTATAGAGGTTTAGCTGCGTATTGGGTAAAACAAACATATAGCAACAGGCACCGATAGCTGCTACTTGCTCAAATCAATGCAATGAGAAATCTCTGCGAATTTAGCTTCAAGTTCATCTTATACTCACACGTGCATTATTTTTAGTTCGGTCCTTTTTCGATTTTCCACCCATCGCAATACCCTTGCAAAATTAGGAAGCAATAGATGTTACTTATATCTTCTTCAGTTTCTGAACATTTGCCAACAAGTTTAATAAATATTCGTTTTTAAAATAGTCTTTTATTTTTATTTTGTTACAGGTTACAAGAGTAAGACAAGAGATAACAATTGCAAAGAAATAAATGATGAAAGACGAAATCAACACAATAACGTTATCAGGAAAACATGGATGTGACATATGACATGACATCGACCATTGATATTAATGTCAAAACAGTTCTGTGTTGCCAATGAAAATTGTTACCCATGTTTGCATGGAAAAAGATCAACGGTGGGTCACGGCCGTATTTTATATCCTCTTTGGCCGTAGCACTAAAATAAAATACATCGAAGCCCACTTATTTTTACAAAGCTGATTTTCATATATTTGTTGAAGAATATTGTAAGAATGACTAAATAAATAATGACAGACATTTTCCATGGCCCGTTTTCTAAGACAGACGATTTTAAGTTGCCAAAAACGTGACTCAACTTTACTTTTGTTGTCAAACTAGCTGTTCCTGTGCGACTTCATCCGTATGGATTTGTGAAAATCTTATTTTATTGTTTACGTTTCTCAAATAATCAATTTCAAATGTCAATGTGACATGACATGATGACAAAATATGGCAACATTACTTCCTTGATGTTGGCAGCAACTTTTCCACATTAGGGTTTTTATCCAAAATATTTTCCCCTTAAGTTTAATGGCGTTAAAATATATAGCCTAAAGTGTGACGCAATTATAGGGCTTTTTATTAAAAAAAGAAATATTCAAAAATATGTTGTAATTGCTGACATCTTAGGCAACAAAGAAGTGTGTGTTTACGCTTTATTATAATATTATAGATATAGATGCTTGATTTTTACATATCACACTAAGGAGCCTATAGAGCTTGGAATGGACATGTTATGCAGCGAGAAGATGGGGACATAAACCAGAAAGTGTTAAGAATTAATGTGGATGGCTACAAAGAAAGAGGAAGACTGAAGAAAGTATGGATGGATTGTGTGAAAAAGGATATGTTTAAGAAGGAAGTGGATTCATATATAAATTATAACACGGCTAAACTCACGTGATAACATTCGGTGTAGGCACCGACAGTTTCGAACCCGTTGGGGGTCCTTCTTCAGGGTGAGTGATTAATCGGGTATACTCGCTAGCGCGTCGCGACGGTCACTGCGTGCCCTCGCCCGCAATGCGCGTTTCGACAGGGCGGGGGGCGCGGGGGGTGCGGGGGGTACACTATTCACTATGTGCGTCGGCGCAGACGAGCTCGAAACTGACGTGGTGGTGTTATTATTATTAACGGGGGCACAAAATACACTTACAATGTCCACTAAGTTGTCTTCGACATTGTCGATCTTATTCCGCTTCGCATTCAGCAGCACGGGTTCCCACGCGGGTGGCAGAGCCCAACCCTTGTCTCTATTATAATTAGGCCGACGGCTGATTTCTATTGCCTCACGAAGCTTGCGGGATACAAAATGCTTCTCGCGGGCTAGCACTTTCACTTTGTCGAACCTAATATAATGTGACATATCGGAGGCAAGGGCATGTTCCGCCACCGCCGAGGCGTTGCTGTCGAGCTTGCGAATGCTCCGGATGTGTTCCGTGAGTCTAGTTTTTATGTTGCGCCCCGTTTCTCCGATGTAGTTCCTACCGCAATCGCATGGAATTTCGTAGACCCCAGGGCTGTCCAGAGGGTCCCGGTCTTTAGGGGACCGCAGTATTTTCTGTATTTGTGTCAGGGGTCGGAAAATGGTCCTGATGCTATATCTCCGGCGTAACAGGTGACCAATTCGGTCCGTTATCCCCCGCACGTACGGCAAGTATGCCGGGACACGCTCAACATCCTGTGGCCGTCCTTTGCTTGATGTGTTTGCAAGGCGGTAACTCTGCCGCCAATTATAGCCGTTGCTCTCTAACACCTGTCGTACGTGTGACAATTCCGACTCAATAAACTGTGGATCACACAACCGAAGCGCACGGTTGATCAAAGTGCGTGGTACTGACGACAGATGTGAGGGGTGATGTTGTGAGTCGGCTCTTAAGTAACGATCTGTGTTGGTCGGCTTTCTGTATACCGTATGTACAAGATTTCCAGTGGGTTCCCGCTTTACTAGAACATCCAAAAACGGAAGAGTTCCGTCCGTTTCCTCCTCCTTTGTAAATACAATCTTTGGATGTATACTGTTCAAATGGTCCAACAACAAGCTTAAGCCTTGTCTTGTAACAATGGCAAACACATCATCGACATATCTCCACCAGTATCTGGGTTTGATTGGAGCCGTTCGTAAAGCGTTATCCTCAAAATGTTCCATAAATATATTGGCCACAACCGGTGCTATTGGAGAGCCCATCGTCACTCCATCCACTTGCAGGTAGTAATCACCTCGACAGAGAAAATAGCCGCTCGTAAGGCAAAACTCTATTAATGATAAGTACACGGTAGGTAAATTATTTGCGATCAAAAGTTAATAAGTTAGTTTAATAAGTTAAGTGGATTCAGATATTACGTCTGATAGAAATGTACAGAAGAGAAGCATATACTGTGCCGACCATCCATAAGGGATAAGGGCAAGTTGATGATGACACTCAGGAGCATATAGCAATCAGCCATATCAGCAGCATCCAGATAGACGTTTCTGATGAGGCAAACGACCTCCCAGATTCCTAACATTAATTGTCCACGCGGCTCGAAGTGCTATAGTGCAAATAGTGGATTTTCCATATTTTTAAATAGTACAATGACGAGAAACGTTACTTATTAGTATGTCGTTCTTGACTGTCCAAGACTACAGCCGGTGCATGCGTCTTGCGAGGCACGGTCGGATCTAAGCAAAAGCTGGCATTTCGAAGCAATCACATTTGCATTTACGAGTTAAGAAATCAGTGATATATTTGCACTATTATTGGCTTGATTTTTTAATCAACTCATGTTTCCCCCC